TACTGTAGCAGAGGCAGAGAAATGAGCAGTTGAAAAGTGTGTCAGAGTGTTCCTCTGACAGAAGAGGCTCCGCGAGCAAGCAGTTCTCTGATTCGCATGCTGTGACAGGACAGGACATCACTGGGGACTGGATACTTTGCAGGGAGCTACCTTGTCTCAACATCCACAGTGCCGATCACATCCTCATCTGAGCTCTGCACTCTTCATCTCAATGGCATCCTCGGATGACAGCCATTAACAGGAAAATTCCCCTTTCCCCCCCCCCACTCTTTTTGGAACCATTCAGTCTGACAAAAAGCCTGTAGGTAAGGAAGAGGGACGATCTCTTGTGGACATTGTGCCAGCTGAAAGCAGCTCCCCGCAGCCCCTCTCCAGTAAAATATGCACCTACTAGGCACCTTGCAGGACGCCAAACCCCCTTGGGCTCAGAGGGTGTCCCGGCTGAAAACGGAGTGGCACAAAACATGCTCCAGGGCCAACCAGCCAGCCACGCAAACTATTTCTGAATTGGGCATGATGGGCAGGCATGGGGCACGGAGACGTGGAACACTTAATCAGACACAAGGGAGCTCCCCAGCAGCTTGAAAAAACGATTGAAAAGAGCTACGCACGGTATAGGGACACGCAATCAAAACCACGTGATGTACTCTTCTTTTGCGATTCGTTACTCCCCGCCCAACTCCACTTTTTCTCCTCAGCAGGCTTCCACTTGTACTGAGCAAACACCGGGGAGATGACCAGCAGCAGCAGCAGCTACAGTACGACCCACCTCTTAATGCACAGACCAGGATACGCAACAAATGCTCTGCCGCCCAAGCTCAGTCCTGTAATGCGTTTGACTCCTTTCAGGGTGATAAGATAGGGTCAAGAAAGTCAGATTGGCTGCTGTCGTGAACAGTAGGACAATCGTAAGCCACAGCTTTTCGTGAGAAGAAGAAATCTGTATGATTCTCTTTGTAACCACTGCTGCAGTATTTCAATTTTGTCCCAATCCTGACCACAAAGTTGTAGTTTAATAAGCAATGAATATTTTACATTAATATTGTGCATATTTGTAATCTAAATTATAGAGAGGCTTCCAGGTAAACATCAATAGCTGGAAGATGAAGAAAAAAAACAGTCACACCAATTAGATGCAAACCCCATTTTCCTGAAACTACTCCGTCGTCGTTCTTGCAACAGCCTGCTTCCAGGGAGAGATTTGTTGTGAAACATTGCTACCTAGGGGTACAGAAGAGGTATAGCAGGTCATGGCCTAAGTGTGTCACAGACTGAATTACATACATGAAAAGGCACACGGGTCCCTTACTTGCGAATATCTAGAGCGTATCTGATCCTTCTCTAAAGACATTAATGGTTTTACCAGATAACATTCACTTAATTAAAAAATGATAATGTGGGAGCTGACATCTGGATTATCTGGCAAACATGTGCACTACCATCCAGAAGTGGAGAGTTCAAACCTGGGTCATGGATCTAGGAAGTGACTGGGGTGCCCCATGTGAAGGCACATACAGTAATTGGCACAGTGCTGCTGGAGATGGGGTTGGAATTAGCGGGATGGCTCTCTCTCAGCTCCTAATCCAACACCGAGTCCTTAAAGGTCCTGGACACCAGCTGGCAGTTGTAACGAACAGTTCTTTCCGAACCCTATGCGGACGACACAGTCCGACGGAGTGGGGAAACACTAGGGAAACGTCATGCAGGAAAACGGGGCTGAAGACAGGGGGCGTGTCCAAGGTGCGCTGGTGCACGAGGGAGGTGTGGCCGAGGCAAACAATCCGAGAGAGAAGTCCTTAGGGGATATCCAAAACACAAGGGTAAGTCCAAAACCAGAAGATCCATCAGAACAAAGAATTAAAAACCACGAAGGCCGGGTCGGAACCGGCGGACGGGGAACAGGAACGGGAACAGAGGTTAAAACCTTAACGGGACCAGGCGCTTCCGGGTCCCGGACTCGCACGATATGGAAATCAGATGCAGAGCCCGGATGAGCGTCAGCGCCTGGCTTTTAAGGTGGGCTGGGAATAGGGAGCAGGTGCATAGAATAAAGTCTCACATGAACGGGCTGGAGCACCCTTAAGGAGGGGGAACTCTAATCATGACAGCAGTGACATCACAGAGAGACACACGTCTGCTCCAATCAGTGTGGACCCTCCTGCTCATCGCTGTAGAGCATACAGTGTGTCAACAGATGAAAAGCCTTTAATGGGAGGGCAGGTCTGAGAACTCCTCACTCCCTGTGAAACCCCTGTACCCCTCAACATGAAGACGTTATTGCCAGTTCCAGAGTGTGTGCATTAAAAATAACTGGCAATTCCAACATTTAGAAAGAAAATGGCATTTAAAAAGGGACATGTTCTCAGGACCTCCTGCATTCAACCTGTTTTTGAAATGGTGTGAAGGGAAGTTTTAGTCAGCACTAAAAAAAGTAAAGCTCACATTCTCTGTGCATCTGACTTGCACAGCACCTTGAAGGTTCATACGAATCGTGCACCTAATGCAGATATTAATACTAATGCACAGAGGAGCAGTTGGTGTTATTTTTAACCACTTTCATTCAAGTGATCAATGCCGCAGTGGATGACTGTGAAAAGGCCAGCCTGTCTTGGTATTCAATTCTATCTAATGCAGGAAGAGAAATGTAGGGGGGTGCAATTTAAATTTCTCATCTTAATGGCAAAATTATTTACCATTTTATAGCTTATATCTAGTATTGCCCCTTCTCAAAGTTAAAGAATTCAACACTCTTACAAGGAGACATCTATCAGAAGTGTGCAACCAAGAATTTTCATTGCAACAAGATTCAACAATCATTTTGTTTCAAATGAAATTTCATTTCAGCTTTAGGCTGGTGACTAATCTTCACTGGCAGCTCAAAAACACGAGGCCATATGAACTAACCACAGTCAGCAGGAAGGACATCTGTAATTTCCTCTATTATTAAATTGAATCCAATGCATCGTGTTGTGGAACAGAGAAGGTTAAATTGACTGTCTACCCCTTTTTTAATTTAAAGACTGAATTTTGCTGGGATACAAATACACTGAAGCTAACCCTATTTATTTATCACTTTTTCTCCTTGGAGACATAAAGACACATGCCTCTATTTTATTGCACTAGATAGCTGTTTGGCCTGTACCTTCTCTTTCCATTGCCTTTCAGCAATGTTATTGTCTCCCATTTCCTGACTGGATTGTGTTGAATTTGGCTCCTTGCTCTGATAAAGGATTACAGAACACTCAAGTCATGAAAATAAACTGCAGCAGAGTAGTGCTGGTGTATCCAGAAGCATTCTGTTCACTCTCTACTTGTACAGTAAATTTCTTTCCCTGAAAAAATACAGATGAGCACTAATATTGAATCAAAAGCAGGAACCCAGTAAAACCTAATTGTACATCTCGACCCTTTAGTGTCGAATAATTTAATTTAATAATGCAATTGTATGTGGTAATATTCTTTAATGTAGACTCACCTTTAGTGTTCTGTGAGTCAGTCATTCTATATTTTGTGGACAGAGGTGGAAATTTAATTACTCACACCAATCACTGCAAACGTTTTAGGAATTTTCATGAGCAGCCATGATGAAACAAGTTTTATAGCTTCCATAACCAAGCACCTTTGAGTGTGGTGTCCAGGCAAACTTGTGATATTTCTCAGTGAGGCTTTGAGATAACCTGGATTATTCACAATCAGTTTAGTCTGTCAACCTCTGTTATTTCAGTTGGTGCCCTCAAAATCTGAAGCTGAAGAGACACAACTGTAAAAGCATTTTGACAACTGGATCCTAGTTTTTCACCTGGTATTTCCACATTGTTGTCAAGAACACATTATTCATGGATTGCAATATTTACAAAAGTATAGATAGCACCCTTTCACTTCAATGCAGATCCACAAATATAGCATACACGCCTACTGAGAGATACTCAGACCCATGAATTTGTACTTCTTCCAGTGACTGCTTAGCTGTATGGAAGGAAAGGTTATTAAAACCACAAAAAGTATTTCCTTCATATTACAGTTATATCACCAGCAAAACAAGGTGCGCGAATACTGGGGGATGTCGCACATGAGATCTTGTTAACAAACTAACAAAACTAACAAACAGAAAGAGACAACACCTTCAGCTACCCTGTTTTGGTCATTTAAGGGGACAACTTGGTTAAACTTTGCATGGTTCACAATAAAATCTTTACTGACACCTAGCCCTCTGTGCAATAAGTTTCAGCTCCTTTCTCTGTCCCCAAAGAAAAACCTCTTTTCGCCTTTGATAGGAAAAAATGTTTTTTGGCAATTGCATTTGCTCTTTTTCAAAGCAGAGCTCATACAGGGGCAATTAAAAGGATTCAATGTGAGAAATAGATGTAATTGCTCTTTGCTGTTTCCTGCAATGCTGTAATGTTTCTCAAGTGCCTATCTGAAGTGACCTGCTCACTCAGGAGTGCTACACTGGAGTCGAAGCCCAGTTCTTGGGAAAGAGATTATATAATTGGAGTACAACTCTGGATATCACGTATGAGCTCACCGTCTTTCGATCGATTCTTCTTACATATCTTTGCTTAAAGACTAATGAAAAGGAAAAGAATTAAGTGAAATCAATGAAACCAAACCATATTTTTTTTCAGGGTGATCTGATCTATACAGGGTGTGCTGTTGGTTCTATTCAGAACTTTACAGGCGAAACAAGTTCTGTTGCACCAATTAGAAGGGGTTGGCGAAAGATTTACCCCAAAAAATCCTAAATGTGAAAATCAGGACTTTGTATCTGATGAATAATAATAATGTATAAGAAATGCACTCTACATATTTGCTTTCTAGGCCCATGCTTACTGCTTTCATTACAGTTTGTCCTATTTTTTCTTATACAGAACCAGGAAGGCCAGGAGAAGGGAGATCCAATCTAGAGGTTTTGTTCCCAAAAGCAGACATCTCTGATTCTCAACATCCTTCCTCAATGACAGAACACAGAGTGTCTTCAGATCAGAGTAAAATGCACCTACCTGCTCATTAGTGCTCATACACTGCAGCTTCATCTGCTTCAGATAGGTAGCGGTGATTGGCATGTTATAGTCAATTAATCCTGGAGCCAAGGAGGAGGGGCGGTCATTCTCTGGAAAAAGAAAGACATATCAGCAAACTGTTTTTCTATATCGCGTAACACGTTTCCATTCCAAACTGGTAAGAGAGTTTCTGGGGTTATTGTTAAAATTGTCCAAATTCCCACATACTAAATTGTTTTTTTTAATTAAAAAATCTGAGCATACAGTAACGTTCTCATAACATAAAGAATATAGAAATGCACTTACAGTATGCATATGTTTTGACAATGCCTTAAGAGAAAGTGTTTTTGGATTAATGTAACAAGTCTATTATCCTGTCTAATTGGCGTTTTCAGATTGTCGTAAAAAATTCCACACAATATCCTTTCAGTCGCTGGCCTCTCTGCAGAATAGCAGGGATGGATGGAGACAATTTTCACCTGTTGAACAGCACTGTAAAACTGTCTTGGCATTTTTTTTGTATTTACAAAACATATCAGCTCTTTTCTGCTATGATGTTCTAAAACATGTAAAAACGTTTGCTCAAAAATTATGCAAGCATTCTTGCTACAGGAGCTACGCTTTCACTACAAACTCAAAAGACTTTAGGATGGTTATTTTTATTTAGTTGGAGGAGCCATAATGTAATAATGCAAATGTAGGGAATTCAGATGATTAAAAAAAACGGTTACAAATGCAATCAGGATTATTAAACATGTCTTGGAGCAGCACACGAAATGAAATTAAAATGCTCTAAATAAAAATAAGCAGGCATAATGTACTGTAGAAGTATAAATGTCACACTTGTTCTAAGCTGAACCCTTTCACGGTCATTCCAATTACTGGAGGCAATTCAAAGGGAGATAAAAGAGAAGCAGCTCTCTGCGGTTATATGTGGCCAGTTCAGCCAGCATCAAAGCTTAAAAGAACTAAATGCTGACAAATTAATTAATATATTACATCTTATCTTTCAAAGGAGCCTGCTTGCGAAGTTTGCTCACACCTTTAACTGAAGGAGATTCAGGCTACCTGTAAATATGGAAATACTGCCACGCTCACAGTCTGCAATGCACTGAGACTGTCATCAGACAATAGGACCTAGGAAAGCAATGAGGAGCAATACAACCAAATTTAAAAATTAAATCCGCAGCAGAGGAAATCATCTGCTGCAAACTCCGTTATCATGCGGCAGGTCCATTTATTTATTTTCTCAATAACCAAACTCAGATCTTTCAGCCGGGCTGAAAGGTAGGGGAATTGCCACTCAAAAGCAGCGTGGCTCTGGTACGGCCTTTGGAAGGGAGAACAGCTCAGCACATGAACAAGGAGCTGGAAAACAAGTTTGCCCGCATAGGCTGTGAAACCAGTCTTCGCCAGTTCCTCTTTCTCATTTTTCCTTTTTTCATCCGCCCCCCAGTGCAGAATTGCCAACTGGCAGCTCAGCACAACTCACTGCTGCATCCCTCATGCCAGCACAGGTGGGAAGGAGATGACATGCATGCCTTCCTCCGACACGAGCACCATGTTTCCACAAACAAGATAATAATTACTCAAACCAGTACGCCAGCGCTTTATGCCCCTTACCACATTGGCTCACACAGTATATCTCTGTTGCCAGAATCTCTGTTACTGCAAAATGGATCTCGAGAGCTAAACTAAAGCATGAACAGAGCCAGCCTCTCCCATATTCCCAAAGGAGTAATTTTGAAATCAAAGCACAGCCTCAACTGCTCAGCTCTCTTGAAAGTAGAGGCTGCAATATAGATATGCAGGAAGAGCCAGTTTATGTGTCAAAGAGTAAAGACAAATCGGTATTCACCAGCTCACTGCTGCACTGTGTCTCTGTCCACTAGACTAGAGGGACACACCTGTGTCAACTCACTGCTGCACTGTGTCTCTGTCCACTAGACTA